TTTCTCCTCCAGTTCACATGCTCTGTTGCCCACTCCCTGCGGTCGCGACGATGCCTTGATGTTAATCTAACAGATACCATCGATCTGCGAGCATACATACCTACACCATGGAGTCGGTTTCGGACAGTCTGAGTTGAAACCGTGGTGCCAGTAGCCGAGCGAAGGTGTTGTTGGAGAAGAGTAGTATTCATATATTTCGGTGTCTCCGAGTCGTTAACACTAAATAACGATCTTCATTGGGCGTTGTTGCCCGTCTACGACCTTGCCCTGGTCTTCGGCCTGCTCTTCCAGTTTCTAAAAAACGGTTCCAAATCCTGGAAATCACACTTTGTGACACTCTAATGCCTTGCGCTACTTCGGCTTGAGTTTGGCCCCCTTCTAACCTACCAACAATTCTCCAAGCTTCTAAATCGGTTAAATGACTTCGCTGAGACATCGTACTCATCGAAACAAAGCAGTCACTGAATGCCGATCAGCCTTGTCTTCATTGTCTTTTGTTCAGTTTGAAAGTCAAATTTCATTCGCTGCCGCGAAGCGACGTTTTTGACGTCGAACTCAAAATTAGCATACTCCACAGTTTGAAAATCAGAAAAATTTGCATTTGTGATTCTCTTCTTCCATTTTCGGCAAAAAATTTCGCTTATATCTTTATTTTATATAAAACTTACAATATCCTTTAATTGTTTTGAGCAGTGTATTTTTTGAATTATTATGATCTATAATTTTATTAGTACAAACAAATTTTCAGAAACCAAATCATAGCTTCTAATTGCATCAAAGTTCAATTTTAATTGCGATGGCTCCACTTGATGTATTGTTGCCATTTTTTAATATTTTCCTTAAAATTGCTGAATTTAATTATTACGATCACCTCGTTCAAAAATATTCATCCTATTTCTTGTATTCTTTAATAAACTTATAGAGTCTTGTATATTTTGCTAACTAAAACTCACGAGCTCTAAAAAGACTGTAGAGGAATTATCATCGTGTCTTTATCTGTAGACAGAAGAAGGGCATAAATAGCCATTTTATTTGATTACAAAGGAGCAACAGTTGCTTCACTTGGGTTTACATAAGTCAACACTTCTGGCTTAATTTAAACAAGTACTTTTGAACTTAAAATAAAATATAATTTAGACTAGCCTAACGGCTCACTGCATAAAGTAAACGCGTAAGAAGGCTATGGCTCGTAGAAGATGGCCAAACAAGATTAATGGCTAGAAGCACTCAACGCCACAGAATTTAATCGCTATTTAGTCATGCAGGTAAAACACTCTATAAAATCAACTTGCGAAGCTTTTGCTTAAACAGCACTTCTTTCTCTCTTAATTTGAATACACGCGCGCTATCTAACTATTTACAATCTGGAATGAACAGCGCGGGTAAAAGGCAGGGCTGTGGAGTTAAGAGTCATAGAGTCGGAATCGGAGTTAGGCAGATTTTTGGGTAAGAAGAGTCGGAGCTGGAGTCGTTAAAAACACGTCGACTCCGACTCAAGTTTTTGTTAGACAGTTTGAGTTTGAAATGAAATTAAAGTGAATTGAAAAACAATTTAATGACAAACTGAGTTATTATTTTTATTCATGGAGTATATACAGGCACATTAATAAATAGTTATTTTCTATTTTATTGAATTATTAATAAATAAATATAAAGGAGGATTATGGATGTGGTATTTTCCATTATTAAACTGATTCATTTAGTTACAAATCTCATTGGTAAATTTAGGTAAGCAGCAAGAGCTGCAAAGAACTCCCAAAATTGATGCCATTCTTAGGAACCAAGTAGGAAAAGGAGCAATTATTGATAAAGCAACTTTTTTAGAAGATGTAGATAACCCTAATGTTTCACTAACAGAAAGACTGTGGAATGATCTTGCAGAATTGGAAACTTTCTCCTACACCGTATATAGCCACAAAAAATCTACAGTCTGAAGAATTAACAAGAGGCGAGAATGGAAAAATGGGACGTGTTTGTTCTTTCAGAAATGGAGAGTTTGTTGCAGAAGGAATCATTTCTTCAATGAAGAAAAGAGAAACTAGTTTCCTAGACAATGAGATCTTGCTGGGTAGGTACAAAACACCGAATTTTGTTGGATGACGAACAAATTAAAAAGGCAAAGAAAGCCATCTATGAACTTTCATTAAGAATGAAATTATTCTCAGAGCAATTGGATTCCAATGTTTAATTAGATTTTGAGAAATATTCGGATAATATTGAAAAGGCTAAGGCAAAGCGAATGAAAATAAAGAACCAAGAGCCTTTAGATATAAAAATGAAAAAAATACAAACAAGATTTCTACACGACCTTTGAAGAAATAGAGAAATGTGATTGCGTTTGCAAGACACCTCTTTTAGAACTTATAAAAATCTATCTTGAAAAGTTAAAAGACGTTAACCCTAACAGTAACAGCTCTTCCTCCTACTCAAGTTAGTGTGGAAAGTTCTCATCTCTGAAGTTTATCAAATTGGATCTATGGCGCTCCAACAAAGAAGATCTTGCCGAAGCTATACTGTTTCTTAGAAATAACTAATGCCAGCTTTTTCATTTCATAAAAAAATGCTAATTAATATAAATAATTTGCTATGCCATCAATTTTTTATAACGTCTATTACTTCTTTTATATTAAAAAATAAGCTGTAATCCGTATGTTATATGTTTATATATATATATGAGGGAGTCAGAGTCGGAGTCTTTAAAATTTCAGGAATCGGAGTCGGTTATTTTCCCTACCGACGTCACAGAACTGGTAAAAAGAAGAGAGACAGGAAAGTTGCTTTAACTCAAAATTCTCGGATGACTTTGAAATTCCAAAACCTATTATACGCATGTGCTTTGAATAAGATTTATATTTGAATATCTTCCTTCGAAGCAGTTCTTGCGTCACAACACCAAGATAAAATATATCGCAGTTCAGCGGTTCTATGAGCCATGCTAGCATAATTAAATTCTGTATGTCTTGGAAGAGAACATTAAAATCTTTAAAATTCTGCAAGTAGCTTGTGTATAACAATATATCTCCTGAAAACGTTTGCAGTCTTTATATTTTTTTGGTTGTGTTTTCTTGTGTTCTTTCGTTCCGTTAGAACTTCTTACTGCATGATATAGTAGCTTAATATCAATAAACAATCAGTTATCAGTTTTACAATATTAATAATGTTTCGTAGTAAATGAGATCATTATGCCTATCAATTGCCAGTGCAAAGTCGGTTATCGAACCCTAATCGAATGCTCGTCCTCACTGACACCTTTAAAATTTCTTTAATCCCGAGGGAGTCGATGTCAACCCGTTGGGAACCACTGATTTATATGACCGTTTCCCAAACATATGGATATGCTGGCCTGGGAATACAGTCAAATTTGAATGAACTGAAAATGACCAATTTTTTTTTTTACAGTTTAATGCGTTCAAACCAATATGTCACAAGCCATAACGCTAAAAATGTTCCGCAAAACGTTTTGAAATTATTTAACAATGTTCCGCAAACCACAGTGTGGTGAATAATTTTTAGTATAGGTCAGCAATATTCTAAAAAACCTTATACACTGAAGTGCAACTCAATTAGGGATAGCTAGTCAATAACGAGCTGGGCCTCCTCTGGCCTTTATAATGGCTGTCAAATGACGAAGCATAGATTCAATAAGTTTCTGGAAGCATTCTACGGGAATGGCTTGCCAAACATATGATGGAGCTGTCTATAATTTAGGAAGAGTCGATAGTGTTGTGTGATGAAGTTTTAAACCTTTCTCCAAAACTTCCGAAAGATTCTCCCTAGAATTTAAGTCAGAGCTTTTAATTAGCCAGTTTATCTCAGAGAAGTCAGAAGAACGCTCATCCAAACAGACAATAGCCAACCGAGACCTGTGAGAGCTGGGATACTCCATTTCCGTGTGAATGACCGGACAACATAAATGGATGGAGATGATCACCCAGCAACTCTACATACCGAATCATATTGAGGCCCAAACACTGCCAAAGGAAAACACTCCAGACCATGATGCCACCTGGCCTTGTACAGTTCAAATCTGCCGTACAGGATTCATGGCTTTATGAGTCTAACGCCATATTCTTAGCCTCCCATCGGTATTAATTAGTCGGAATTGAGGCTCATCACTTTTTGCTTCTCATTTCAAGTCCAGCAGAGTCTATTCTCTATATTCTCTTGCTCAGGCAAGAAGTGCAGCTCGATGGCGTGCATTCAGCAAAAGTACTCTCGTCGAGCTACGGCTTCCGAAGCCCGTATGGTGAAGCGAGCGTTGCACGATCCGTTTTACTGACTATACGACTGTTGCCCTGATTCAGCTGGGTGGTAATTTGAGATAATGTTTGGATTCATTGACCATGTACAGTACGGCTGTGTCATCTCACACCACGCTTGTGTCCTTTGCAATTCGCCCAATCGCTAGTTCTTTTTCCCAACATCCGTGTATTCTCGGTATACGCTTGACTCTGTCGACCTTGAAAATTCTAGCCAGCTGAGGATTTTGGAAATTCAATGGTCCATACGTCGAGTGCCTACCATCTGTCCGCTATCGAACTTGTCTAAATCAGAAGTTTTACCCATACTGGTAATTGGAAAGGCTGATTAACAACAACTATAGTACTAGCTATATGTGCATTTACCACGACTTTCTCACGTGAGCACAGATGAGACGCAGCGCTATAAAATTTGCATAGCCATGTCTATCCTTAATTCAGTGGCACTTCAGTGTAGTACCAATAGACATACCAGTTATTTTAACAAATGTGTTGACAACGTTAAAATTTAAATAAAGTTTTAAAATCGTAAAAAACAGTATTACAAAACTGGAATGTATAACAATAACACCTTTGAAAAATGAGTAAGCAAATAAAGAAATTATAATAATTTCAAAACATCATCATATAAATAGGGGTAGATAGTTCTATTCTGTTATCTAGAAAATCGCAACTGTTTTAAATACTGTCTTTTTCACCCCTTTTAGATCTTTAAACTTGTAAAATTATTGTATATTTCAGATCTTGAAAAAAATCTTGATTAAATATCTGCAAGATCTGACCTCTTTTGATGAATATTACTTAGAAGTGAAATCTGGACAACTTGAGTGGAGTGTAGTGCATACTAGCAAGCACTTCTGGGAGAAAAACGCAGAAAGATTGAACGAGAAAAGGTATGAAATTCTCAAGATACTTATCTCTCTACTAGAGACCAGTCAAGATAGCGTCATCCTATGTGTGGCAAGCCACGATTTAGGAGAATATATGACACATTATGGCAGAGGCAAGAAAGTAGTAGAACATTTGCGGGGCAAAGATGCACTGTTGCAACTGCTGTCTCACAAGAATCCCAATGTAAAGTACCATGCCTTAAAAACTCTTCAGATTTTAATGCTAAACAACTATGACTTGCTGGCAGAATATGAGATAAAAAAACTAAATAAAAAGCACTGGGATTCTGATGATGTTTTTGGACTGCAAGCAAAAACTGAAAAAATATTTGTAGATAAATACTACTAGAAATCGTTAGTGCCATTATCCACCTCATACAGCAGGAAATCATAACTAAGATCAAAGTCAACATTGCATTTCCGAAGAGATTTATTGAAACTTTTAGTATTAGAACACATTTTTTAAAGAATTTCTTCTGTAAGAAATTTATCTAGTTTCCTTCACAAATTTGCTTGTTTTTAGCTTCTGATATAAAAGATTTGCTTAAACTTTTATGAAAATATTTTAGCATAAATTAAACTGATATTTTAATGCAAAATTCATGAAAAATGTCAAAGAATCTTATTAAATTAACAGTATATATATATATATATAACTGTAAGATAGTGATATGGAACTATAAAGTTTGACTTGATTTGGTAGCATAAGCTATGTACAAATTCCTAACAGACTGGGCTTGAATTATCGCTATATCTGAAGTTAACGGCAGAGACTTGAGAAGGTTTAAACAAACCCTTTTTATTAAATCGGAACTTTGAACATAGATGCACAACTGGTGCTTACAATTCAGCCAACCACTCGTGACAATGTAGCTTAAAGAAATAGTAAATTCAAATTTTCAATAAATCTAGTCTGGTAACCAAGGGCTGCACAAAGGATTTAGCGTGAAGCAGGTTCAAAACTTCTTAATGGCGTAACAATTTAAATATCAGCAATTATAATGCAAAACCGAACAATACAATCTTATCGTAGCTAGCTAACATAGCAACGTGGCTTCGAGAACCCGCTCTGAATTAAACTCCTGAAACCTTCCTTTCAATATGGACCTCATTGTAGGGAAATGGAAACGAGAAGTGGCAGCAAAGATCAAAACACAAAATAACTAAGATACAATAACACACCGAACAAATATTAATTTAGAAGTCAAACAACAAAAGTCAGCGTTATATTTTCAAATTTCCACAGGACTAGTTTCGATGATTTTACCGAACCATCATCGGCAGCTGCAAAAGCACAAATGAACGGAATAAGATATAATGATTGGTTAGTAAAAAATATTATTAGTAACCCCACAAAATAAATGAATAAAAAAGAAAACATTTCAAAAATTGCTATTCATTATTATTTTTAAGCTTTTAAGTCCAGTCTACTGGCGGACATACTGGTAGCGTCTTACCAGTTAGAACTTTGGAAGAATCATAACTCACTTGATAATCCGAACAATCTTTTTATTACTTTCTGGTTACTCTATTCAGACACAGGACTTATAACAGCTCAATAGGAGCAGTTTGCTCCTACAGTTTTAAATGTAGGTGCAAACTGCCCCTATTGAGTTGTTATAATGCTACTATGACATATTAGATTTTTAACAATGAATGGAAGCATCCAGACAATGTCTTTTACCGAGCAAGCGTAGGTAGCAAAAGAGAGTGCGTATATCGTGGCTGGAATATTTATAATCTCAGAGCACTTTGTTTTAATCTTGCACAGTGGATGAGCAAGAGTTTTCGCACTGCGGCCACTACAAGGAAAATCCAGATACATTTTGAAGGGGATAGTATTTTTTTTAAATTAGGAATTTAAAGGACTATTGCCGTGACTGCAAGATTCAAGATATTTAATATTATAATCTGAAATGACTGCAAGATTCTACTATTTTGTGTTTCAGCATCTATTTTAAGCATAATCATTCATTTCAAAATTATCATGTCACCTCATCATGATCGACTTTTGTTTGAAAAGTGATACACCGCAAAAATGATTCGACGCAGAGGTGAGGATATAGAATAACAGCCTGCATGGTGCTAATTAGATGCATAAAAAATAACTGTTTGTTTTACGGAGCTTGTTTTTCTGCTAAATTGTAGCGCTGTGTGTAAATATTTTTGACTCTATTACTCTTGCTTTCCTAGAAAACCAAGTAGGGACATCCTAAGGAAGAAAGGATTAATAAACAGTTCACATATCCCAAAGCATGATTTTATCTCACTGTTTTAAGTGTTACGTTGTTTTTTATAGTAAATGTAAGATAACAGATAACATCAAAAGTTTCAATTATAATATCCGACTTAAAACACATTTTTTCTGTTAAATGTCAAGCCCTCTCCATTTTTTATTTTTGAATAACCCTCCACGTTTTATCTGTTAAATGTCCTCCACTTCCAGTATAAATATCTGGTCACTAAATAAGAATAAAAGCCTATGATTTCATTTCAGTTCATTGTGTGATATAACCATGTGAAGATCCTTTTACCCATTCACGAGACGAGAATCATCTTTCAATTCCAACCATCACAACCATTCCGAAATGAAACTAAATGCATCTTTTAAGACGCTGAGGACATTGTTAAATATTTAAGTGCGAGTACAATGGTGTGTCGGAGAAGAGAAGATTACTTGTCAAAAAGGCTACAGCAAAAATTAGGAACATCTTTGAATTCCTGTTTCTTACAAAGAAATAACACAACCCTTGAACTTTTAGAATGCCCGTTTTAGAGTGAAGTGCTTTTGTGCCATCCAAGAACAAAGTTTGAGACGTTGATAATATGCCTGCCATTACTAAGTCATTCATACGTCACTTGGACCAAATGGTTTCTTGCTGAACAGCAATTACAAAAGGATAGGACATTTCCGCATCAGCACTTCTGCTTTAGTTATTCATGCAACGTATGGGCGAATTTTGTGGTACTGAAATAGATAGAATTTCCAGTTTTTGACTTCTGATTTTCGTTGATTCTACAAAGCCACTGGTTTAATGCAAAAGAGAGGGTATCGTTACACCAAACAAATGGGCTTAAGAATTTGGCCAATTATTTGAGTATTCGATTCTTGTTGATCATGCCAGCTTCACAATAGGAATTAAATTTTGTTATAATGATGTATCCTATTTTCGTGACCTGAAATACGATTGATTATAATTTTAAAAATATAAAGAATAAAAGTTACAAACAATAAAAGATCTGCTATCATGAGAAGGTTATTATCTAATTCTAAACGCATATGTCTGACAGTAGATCTTTTTTCTTCGCAATATCTGAATTTTCTTACAATTAGAAACATTTTTAATTTTTAATTATTTCTGAAATTTATTCGAAAGCCACGTAAAATTGCTTTCAAGGAGCGTATGCTGCATGCAGGTCGCCGGTTGGAGACCATGCTGTAAGGTACAAAAATAATAATAATAAATTAATTAATTCAAATATATTTATTTCGACAACAAATTTTCAGCTTTTTTTAAAGTTTTATTTCGAAGAATTAGAATTTATTAGAACAAATACGATGTAGTTTTTAAAACTACAATACGGATTTTTTAAGTTATGTAAACAGAATGAAACATCAGTTATTTTCCAGATATTTTTATTCCTTAAACTTGATCCCGGGTGGATAAAAAAAAAGCTGACTCTGACATAAATTTTCTGCAGGGCAAAGAAAAAAAAAAAAAAAAAGATTTCATGCAGCAATTCTAATTCCCAAAGGACTAATATATACTTATGGATTAATCCTAATCTGGTACACAATACGATTTCCTGTTTTTGCTTCAGAGCTGCTCTTAGGTATTGATAATTATGGGAAACAACTTTCGTGTTTTATGTCAGCACATTGTTAGAAACGTCATCATAAGTAGCTTATTGGCTTTTAACTGACAACGATCAATTATTTGATTTCTAAAAAAGAAAGGTGGAACTGGCGAAAGTATTTCTATCATTTAAAAGTTTGTATTCATACGAATTTCAGACAGAAATTACATTTAAAGTGCATGCAAATGAATCAATTTTAAAAAATCTTTAAGAAAAATAAAAAAAAATATTTTGAAATTTTAATTCATTTTTTCACTTATATTTGTTACTGCAAAGAATGAAACGCCGGCAAATTAGGAAGAAAAAGTCATGATAAGGCTAAGACATTAAAAGACTTTCATTCCTCAAAAGCAAAAATGTTATTTTGAAGAAATAATATTGATAAAATTAAGGATATTGTTGTAAAATTTTATATAATTGCGTGGAGTCAATAAAATGGTATTCCATATCATTGAAAATGTTAAAAACAGTAACGGCGTCTATATATATGCAAAGTAAATTAAATATTTGAATTTAATCCATAATGTAAATGATCTTTCATGACATAGATAGTGATAGACAATGTTTGAAGGAACGAAATTAATGTGACTGGAATATCCAGTTCCTTCGAGCCTGAATTGTTTATTTGCTTGTTTATAGTAGTATTTGACAGGAAAATAAATGTAAAGATTTTTAAAATCGTAAACATAATTGGAGTAAGGTTGCTGTTGATGGGCCAGCTCCTTCGTTGAGTCACCTCCATCATTTTCTAGTTATTTTTTGTCAGTAGGCGCTACCTGTTTGCTGTTTAATATACTACCTGAAGCTTGAAAATCGTCATCGACAGAAACGAGGTTGCTTTATCAGAAAGAAGATTTTTGTACTTTTTTTCTAATTTGTCAACCTAAAGAAAATATAGATATCAGTGAGACGTTAAGAGTGCTTTAGTTGTTACCGATAAAATCTAAAGTGTTAAATCAGCGTTATTTGTCTATGTTAACAATGGTTGTTTACTTTGTTACAACCGAAATCACGAGCATAATACATACCGACTTCTGGTTGCCTTCAATGAGCCAGCCTGCGTTGCTATGAATATGTTGGTGGCCCAACCAATGGAAACCATATCGAGGCTAATATTTTGTAACTTTTTTGAGTTGAAGAATAAAATGCACATCAGTTACATCAATGAAATATTATTTCATCAATGAAATTGAGAAACTTCTGCAACAGAAAAGGAGAGAAGGTAAATTAGAAGTTGTCACCTAGTTTCATATAGCAAGATTGTTTAGGAAAGCATATGGATAAGCAATAACAATAGGAACGGCAATGAATATTTTTCTAAAACAGTAGTTTGGCAAGTAAACAAAGATGTATTTCGAGATTCTCACTTTATTGCAACAGTGAAGTTAGAAACAAATAATGCTTCTCTTGTAGAAGTTCCTGAAACAAGGCCTAACTGCTTCTAAAGTGTAATGTCACATGACCTGGCTACAGGAAGGAAAATCTGTTGCAATTCGCAGTGAAATAGAATCAGAATCGCTTCCAGCTGGTGCATCAAAATTGTTCCTGGGACAAGCAGTTCCTGGGAGAGGCTGAAAAAAAAGCACAGGCATCACTATGAAAAGACAAT